ATTTTTTGATATTTGTGAACAGTTAAATCTGCTTCAAACACTAAGTCTCTCATCGGAAAAACTCTCATGAAAGCATCTTTAAAATTTGAACACCCGCTGGCGATGATTTGAACATTTCTTGTCATTCCAATTAGCGTTTGATTTCGACAGGTTTTATTGTATTTTTTTTTAATATTGATTGTCAGGATCCCAAAATTTTATAAAGTTTATGCATAAAACATATTCTTCCTTGTTTCAGGACTTAAGTTACCTTTTCCACAAGTTTGGTTATGTATCTTAAAAGTGAGCTTCAACTACATCTACTGATGTATAAGGCCTGGCACTTAGGGCACTCTTAAATTAAATGTGACCATTTATCAAACTTTAAGTACCATACATTTACAATACACCTTTGTATTTTTGCTATAAAGAAAGAATGTTGTGATATTTATTAAGCTAAGATTTTTATATTATAGTCAAGTAGTTATAGAGTTTCTGTTTTGTACTACTATATGTATTACTTTTTATAAAATGTCAGCTACTTTTGGCATGTAAAACGCACGTGGTAAGAACTTGAGTGTGATTTTTTTTTATATTATTGGGAATTTCTTTAGAATTTTTGACAATGGGCGAAATGAATAAAAATTAAATTGGGTAAACAAGTTGGGGATTATTATTTTAACAAAGGAAACATTCGTAAATTTCATGCCAAATTTTAGTAAAAGCAGCCAGAAAGAATGTTCCCCGGTGCTATGTAACCCTGGATTTTTTATGTATTTCATTGTAATCAAACTATAGTCTAAAAAAACTTCACGTTTACATGCTTAAAGTGTAGAGGTATAGAGAACTGGAGTGAAGGGCATTCAAAGGTTGTTTTATTGTTAATTCAACTTGTTTTATATGAAGCTATAAGGAAATACTATCAAAAAATATAACCTATGATCTTCCAACATCACACCTCTTTTCATGTAAATAAAAAATACAGATAAATTCAAGGGATTCCCTGTCTTTATCGCATACTATTTTCTTAATAAATTGTAAAGGTATCATTCCATCAGTATTGTTCACCTCTTTACTACCTGGTGTGACAAGATTTCTCGTCACCTCCGAAGTGACCTTGATACCCAGTGACAAGAAAATCCGTCATAAAATTGTTTACTAAGATTACTCTTATTTGAACAATTTTCATCCAATTTACTCGAAACTTGTTTTAAAATGTGTAGAAATGATCTCTGTTATCTAATGTTCCTAATTAAAATATCTTAAGTTGTATAAGTATGTACATCAAAAGGTCAAAAGGTGGCAAAAATTCTCTGGTTTCAACCGATTTTAGAGCCTGGGATTCAAGAGGTTAATCATGGTCATATTATGAACAACAGCAAAATCTGTTTATTTGAACACCACTTTAATCTGAACACCTCCCAATTTGATTGCTTTTTTTCAGTCCCATTCTTTCAATCTAACATAGACTTCTATGTTAAAACCTTGAAATGTGAACACTTGCCAATCCAAACACTTTTGGCCTGTTGCATTAGTGTTTGGATTCAACTGTTTTTGATGTGATTTATAGAGGTGTCATAGATACCCATGTTAGTGTTTGTTCCAATCAGTTCCAGAAAGGTTTTTGTTCTATGAAATCTCTTTGAGGCCAATCATAAGAAATTGCATTGTTTAATAAAAATAGATTGCTAAACCAGCCACGACTGCACTTATTCAAGAGCTCGACTGGTATTTTTGGCCTCCTGAATGAAGAAAGTGACTACAAAATGGTAAATTTCCACAATTGTTCCATGTAGAACCTTCTTTGAAGACTATAGTTCTGTAAATACTAACATAGTGAACCTTGATATAATTTATATTTCATTCTTTGTTATGCCACCACCAGAATTGGTAACTTATTGTCAGCCTGTTGATATTTTGTGGTTGGTGTTTACCAGTGGGTGTTCAGTGGTTTGCATTCGGGATCTGTAACAAATGGGAGGTGGTGACATTTTTATGTTAATACCTTGCATTTACTTCTAATATATGCTTTTTTATTGGTGAGTGTTGATCTCCATTACAGTATACTAATTATAGAAACTCGGTTAAAACTCTCTATTTTATATACAGGGTGTCAAATAAGTCCCGTCCTCCCTGCTACAGCTAAAACCTTAACAGAAGGTACCTAGTGTGATATACCATTGGAAATATCATCCAAAGTTATGTTAACTCAACAACTCTCAAGCATTTTGGATGAAATTTACCTATATTTTTATGATGTCTTTTAAAATTAACGTGCCCTCCTTTAAGTAGCTTTTTGCATCAAAATGACAAGGAAAACCTCAGAAATACATCAAAAAGTTAATCTTTTTCACATTCCACTTGTCACAAAAAGGTTTTCACCACTTTCCTTGCACCTCTATTTTCTACACATCTAAACCTATCCAGAAATAGGTTAAATTCATCGCCATAAACATATTTAGTCATATTTTGGTCCCGTGACCTTTCTTATACACGATTCTTAAAATCGTGCCAAATATGCCAAATTGCCATGTTTCTAGGCATATGGTCACCTCAATTGATACAATGTAAAAAGTTCTGAGAACGATTGACATGTGTCAGATATATGCCAATCAACGTAACTTTGGAAGACCTTTCCAATGATATATCACACTTGGTACCAAATATCTTGGTTTTGGCTGTAGAGGGGGGGACGGGACTTATTTGACACCCTGTATACTTGTGTTAGGTTACACCAACCTTTAATGTTTAACTACACATTTTATCATTGAAGTACCAATATTAAATTGTTTGAAAAAGTGTACATTATTCAGTTCTCAATCTGACATTATTTGATTAAAACTTTCTAAATATTTCCTAAGATATCGTCAGGGCTCATTTTCTCACAACTACTTCTTTTTTGTTTCTTTTTGTCTTCTGTAATACTACAGCATATACCTTTTACTTTTCTTTTTATTTCTTAAGTGTTTGTACTCATCAAACATTTTATCAGGAAGTATATACATTTGTAAATATTTCAAATTTTACGCATAACATCTTATTGAAAGCCCATGCACATAACAACTTAAAAGTTAAAATTATTTTTTGTTTTTTAACTCCCTACCATATTTTGACGAAAAATGATCTAATATAGTCTTGCTGCAAGCCTTTGTAACCCCCCTCCCCACTACAAAACTGTGAAAAGATGTGTAGTCAACCAGAGGGGGGGGGGGTCACAGAGGCTTGTAGATGATCTTGTATGTTTTTCATGTACATCATAAATTGGAGGTTTCTATGATTATAATATGGTTCTGTTCTTTTGTTTCTTGATTTACAAGGTCAACATATCATATGTACTAACAAACATAATGATCACGTTTGTAGAAAGAGGTGAAGGCCAATCACATTTTTTAAAAATACTCAACAAACATAGATTTTTAAAATATATTGATTTTTAAATTGGACAAATCAATAAATGTTGTATTTCATTTTTGAGTAGAATGAGGCAGTCAGGTAAATAGGTGAGGCAAGGCTAAATGAGGTGTATTATAACCTCGCCACTTGGAGCTTATTTTCACAGAATAGTTTACATATTTTATTTCTGTAAAAATCTGATTCAACAGTTTCCCTTTCTGCTTTGCCCATGAAAAATAAGTGTAATCCAAACAATGGTAGAATAACAGGATTCCTTGCTCCCCTTTCTTGGAATTAATTTGAACTTGAGGGTTTTCATTGTCAATTTGCTGTCACCTGAGCAGAATGTATCATTTTTAAGACACCTACATGATGATGATGTTGTTTACGAGGATGAGCTATAAAAGCAATTGATCCCCTAGCATTGAGACATTGCACCATTTGCACTCACTTGAAAATGAGAAAATCATGAAAATATGTATATTTCAAATGACCAAATTTGGTAAGAATTTTTCACCAAACTTAGGAAAAATTCCTGGGGATAAGGAGAACACTGATTAGACAATATAACTTCCTTGTCTGTTCATTTTGAGATGGTAATCAGAGACTTTTACAAGCTGTGAAGCAAAATCTGCCTACTTTTAAAAAAAATGTTTTCTCTACATTATATGCATTCAGCGGTTTTCAGCCTGCGGTTGAGGTTTTGTCACCTGTGCCTCTGATTCAATCAATGTTCTTGATTGATGTAAGAGATAATACCAGCATGAGGGGTTTTGCATAGTTCTGAAATATCCATGGTCAGAGACTGCAAGCATTAGGGGTCTTGCATAGTTCTGAAATATCCAAGGTCATGTAAATTACCATTGTAAGTTATTATGTCAGAAAAGAGAGAGAGCAGGAGAAAACATTTTTTTACAAGATAAAAAGGAATTCTACATGAGAAATAAATGATGTCAACGTATCATTTCAATAAATTATCTCATCATTCATTCATCATTATTGCAATATGGTGGCAAAACAATAAGTCATAAATATTTTATTTGCCTCAATTATTTTTGCTGTATAAAAAGCAATTATATCAAGAATCAGATGGTGGTATTAATGTCATATTAGTCTAGATTTTTACATTTGATATCATTTGTGAACCCTCGATGTATTGATCTTTTTTACCTTTGACATCTTCAGTCAACATATTTCAATCTCCAGTCATACACGTACCACTCTAAGCAGTAAATATTTAGGGTGTGGTGGAAACATCTTTGAAGCATAACTGTTCAATCATGTTAAATGTTATATTTTATCCTTTTTACATGCTATTATTACATATATTCAGTCAAGTTTAGACTGTGGAAACAATCATGATTTGCCAACAGGTTGTGGTAGGAGCTAAATAGAGTGTGGTGCTGATGTAGAATTTAGATATGCGCCTGAAATTCATGTCAGTTATTCCTCAATGTATGTTTGTATGTAACTGCACCAAACTGGAAAAAATCATCCATGCCTTATATCTCCCTCAAAAAATTCTCATGAGTCCTGGGACACCCTGTACTTTTGTAATCTCAACCCTGATGTTGAACAATTTGACATGTTATTGGTTTTGTTCAAATGTGCTGACTTTCTACTTTCAGAACTCCATACGTCACAACCTGTCCCTTCACAACCGGTTTATGCGTGTACAGAACGAAGGTACTGGTAAGAGCTCCTGGTGGGTTATAAATCCCGAAGCTAAACCTGGTAAAAATCCCCGTCGAAGAGCGACATCTATGGATACAAAAACGTATGAAAAGAAACGTGGCCGTGCTAAGAAAAAGGTCGCAGAGCTGCGGGCAGCTTTAGAAGGCTCTCAGAGTCCTAATTCCACGATTTCAGAGGCATATTCAGAGACTGACTTATTACCCGATTCTCCTCTTCACGGCTTCCAACTCAGTCCGGAGTTCCGTCAGCGAACTAGCAGTAACGCTTCTAGCTGTGGAGGACGGCTATCGCCTATTCCTTCATTTGTAGATTTAGAGGAGAATCAGGTGCCGCCAATGTCACCATTACAATGGGATAATATGGGAAGCTCGGGAAATTTAAGCAACAGTGGGGTGTCGTTCAGTACGACACAAGATCAGTATGGAACACTGACTGACTCCCTTAGTGATGGTCTAGCAGATATCATGAAATTAGATGGTGGAGTTAGGTTGCAGAATGAGGGCGGTTTGATGACTGATCTCCTAAACAGCCCTCTCACATCTCAACAGACCCAACAGTTGTTAGCGTCAAACAATGGATTCAACACTACAGCATATAACAACCTTGGGGCACCTCCCCCTTACCCCCAGCAGCCATCCCCCACACGTCCACAGCAGAACCTACAACAGATCAATGCGGGTCCTTTCTCCCCTGCACAGGCCCAACAGAATCCTGGGGTGAACTCAAGCCAGATGAATTTTCAGTCCCAATCAGCTCTTCAGGAGCTCTTATCTGCTCCTGACACCCCACAGAGTTTTAATCAACAAGACCCTATCATGGGACAAGACCCTATGATGTCAGTCAGTGATAGAAGTAAGTACTTTACAGTAGTTTGTGTTACCTTCATACCTGACAATCAGGCCAAAGTATAAAGTTCTGTGTTTAAAGTATTTCATTACATTTTCAACATGGCTGATTTTCTATATCCGAAAATGTTGAATCAAATTTTACAAAATATTTATTGTCAACCATGTCCACCATGTCTACCATGTTTTTTTATTTTAATATATATTAATTTACAGTGTATATTAATTTACAGTGTAAATTAATAAATATTTTAATTGAGCTAATTGAGCTTGTGACTAAGTTGTTTTTATTCCCGACTTGTTAAACCAGTATGAACAAAGTTGGGAACTGTTTACATATAATGTTTTGTTTCACTTTATAAAAGATAATAGCCCTGTTATTCTAGACTTAAAATAATAATTAAGGTAGACCAAGAGGATGACTTTTAGACTTGTTTGTACAAGCTTAAAGGGATGGTGTCTAATATTATAGTGAATAGCAAAGTTCATTTGCATTATTTCTAATTTTTTGAAGAAAATCAACTTCTTGAATTGGGTTAAGGTGGTTGAATTTGCATGGAATGTCCTAACATACAAATCTGAAAAATACTTCCTGGTAAAGGATGGTGTCTAATATTATCATGAATATTATCGTGAAAAGCAAAGTTCTGATTTGCAAATATTTCAAATTTTTTCAAGAAAATCAATTTTTTGAATTGGGTAAAGGTGGTTAAAATTGCATGGAATGTCCTAACATACAAATCTGAAAAATGCTTCCTGTTTCAGTAATTTTACATGTTCATATAATCGTTTTCATTAAAATTCATAACAATTCTAGACATATAGCTCTTCTACCTTATGAGATTGTACTTAAGTACGATGTAAGTTAGGGGGCAAAGTCTAGTAAGCCAGACTCGTATATTGATATGAAATTTATTAGTTGTTAAACCACCTGTTAGCAACAACTTAGCGATTTGAATGCTAGGTGATCATAGTTAGAGAACAGCATGTTTTATTGCTGAACGTTTTGCAGCATTTTGGCAAAAAAGCTTTGAAATGAAGGAATTTTTGAGGTCTTACAGGCACAAAATCCTTTGTTACTAAGCTTTTTGTCAGAATGCTTCCTAACATAAGCAATTGAACACTGCAGTATAACAGCTATTAACAGGTCTTATTATAATCATAAGGGACCATTTTAAGTATCAGCATGTCATTTTTATGTCACCACCAAAAAGTGGTGACATATTGTTTATGGTCTCCGTTTTTTTATGACGACAGTTGGTGATTGGCGGGTGGCATTCGGCGATTGAGGGGTGGCGTCTGTAACTACTTAAAACTTCCAATTTCTTAACAAATAATGTTTAGACTGACTTCAGTTTTTTTAAACCATCTACAAGTTTTCAGAAGTTCGAATCTGACTTTGAATTTAAGATTTGACCTTCAGTGACCTTTTCAAGGTAAAAAAAGGTAACTTGCTTCAAATTGATCCAATTTTTTTTCAAAATCATCTGCAAGTTATCAGAAATTCAAATCTGACTTAAGATTGAACTAAAAATATTGAGCAACTAGGTGGTGACATTTTGTCATGTTAATGCCTCATTTTAATCACAATGTATTTTGATCATACAAATGTTTTGTTTTTTTTACTCAACTTAAATTTTATAATTAAAAAACTCAAAAAGGTTACATGAAAATTGATCTTCTAGAGCTATAATTATTCACAAGACTAGGGGAACCTTTTGTAGTACCTGCCGTGTTGGTTGTTTCGGAATGCTGGTATTGAAAAAAAATTACGGCCATGCATGATATCATATGACAAAGAGAATTAAATTAAACTGATGATTTGAGACTAACAAATATGTGGGATTTTAAATATTTCTGAAATTAATCTTGTTTCGAAATGCTGGTATTAAAAAAAATTATAATTAATAATACATGATATGTCACTATGATACATTTCAAATTATTATTTGGAACTCGTACAAAACATGCAGAATTTTAAATTATTCATGAGATTAATTGCTTTGCTGGTATTGGCAAATCACCATTAAAAACATTTTGCTTTGTTTAAAACGATTACAAGAAAAGTTGTAGATTGATAAATTTACAACTTAGTAACTGTCAAATCTGCAATTGATTTATTAGTACGATATTGGGGGATTTTTACCAGTACTACTGTACTTAAAATCATTAATTTTAATCACACTTTTTCATCCATTTATATGGTCACCTTGTCCTGATGGGGTTGTGTGCAATATGTATGCATTTGTCTGGCTGGGTGTGTGGGTGTCATGTAAATCTTGTCATCGAAGTTCCAGGAAAACGGCTAACGTGATCAACTTTAAATTTCTCATATACAATAGGCTGGCAGACTAGTGCCAACATCAGATTAGGTTTTAGCCATGCTTGGGGATTTATATGGTCACCATATTGCTCTTTAAAATGTGACCAATCAAATGTTTTTTTTTTGTTTTGAAACAATAGGTAGTTTGCTTTTAAATGATCATGTATTGATCTCCCGTTGTGAAATTGCTATCCGACTTGGAATTTTAAAAAATCCACCTCACATTTGGAATTATCAGTACTACAGATAATTATCCGAGTGAGTGCGATAGCATGACTGGGGTAGATCAATGTTTTTATAGCACTTGGAAAAAGTAAGTTGTATTGCCGTCATCTTGTGGTGATAGGCCTACTGACAGGTAGACGTTCGGGCAGCCACTTAGCACCACATAAATCACATCTTGTTTTTATTATTTTATACCAAAGGGGCACTTGGCAACCTATTTGCACCTAATTAAAACGTCATGAAAAATAGGTATGACCAGAACTATAAGATGATTACAAGTAATTTTCACTATTTGTTTCTTACTTTTGACTTGTTTTGCTGGAAATTGAAGTCAGTATCAGTTTCAGCTTCCCAGGTTTTACACTTTTTTCTAGGCATTCTTTAAATTTTGCAAAAAATTGGAAGTTAATTTTTATCCAAATTTTGATCTTCTTTGACAGTTTGACAAATCTTTTAACTTTTAAAAAATGAGTATAAGGAATATCCATGTGAACCACCAAATAAAAGCTGATCAATACCTTTGTGTTATTCAGGTTGCCACTGTCATGTTAGAGCAGTCTCATGTTCTCGATACACCAAGCTTTAAAGTAAAGACATCATATCCTTTGTATGGGGGTAAAACGGAAACAATGATATCATGAACGTTTGAGGATCTACTGAGCTGAACATACTGCCAAGCTCGTTTAAATACATTAAGCCCTGTACCGCAACCATGATACCACCATTGTATCATCGGGTCTGCTGTAATAATTCCTTGCTAATGATTGCTACATTGTAATCATCTTGTGCTGAAACTGAAAGACATTCATCTCTGTAGGCAGCAGGCTGACACCACAAAAATGTTGTCTTCCAAATTCCAGGAAAACCACTTATTCATTCAACTTGAATTTTTTGTAGATGAAAGAGCAGACTAGTTCCAAGATCTAATTTAGGGAATCCTTGGTAAACTACTTGGTGACCATTTTGAATTTTTCAATAAAAAGCGTGATTCTCATCACGTGCATTGTATTGTTCATAATCTAAATGAGATTGGTGGTTTGATTTCAGATGGTAGCAGTAACGGTCCCAGCAATGATCAATTCTCCCGCAACAACAGTGCCTTCCAAAACAGAGGAAGTCAGAACCTGATTGGTGGGATACAGTCACAACAAGCGCGACTTAGCAACGAGCGTGACTCACTTTTGAGGGCTGCGTTGACACAGCAACAACAGAAGCAGATTCGACTAGAGCAGGCGCGACAACAGCAACAACAACAGCTGCAACAGCAGCAGCAGTTAATAAACCTTTCCAATCAGAATGCTATGGAAACCCAAATGATTACTGGTAACCAGGGCAACGGAGATGGGGGTCAATTAGGGGCATCTATATCACCAAATCCCAGTTACCCTTCGGACTTGGACCTGATTGATTCAATCAACGCAGGCATAACGTGCGATGTTAATGAAGTATTACGTCAGACAATTAATATGGACGGATCATTAGATTTCAATTTCGATGGTTCGGCCCCATTGGGGTCGGGAGGCGGCGGTGGCCCTATGGTGCGTTAATTAAGCAGGCGTTTAACGCGGTTAGAAACTGCTTCACATAATCTATGATACCTGGTATCCCGTCGGGCTTTCTTTAAGCTTAAAAGGGCGTGATCGATGAATTGACTGTCATGCTGTATATAGGCTTCAAATCTGAGAAGTAAGCGCCATATTTAAACTTCGACGATGGTATCAAACATCAAGTGTTCTTCCCGGCTCTGTTAATAGGTGTAGTGCTACCTAAATATGTGAAGATAATGCCGGAATTCGGAATGAATATTATGCTTCGACATCGTCAAATCTTGATGTGTGGAAATGTTATGAGTAATAACGGAATTATTATCAAAGCAACGTGTTAGGGGAAGGGGCATCATTGGATGTTTTCAAACAAAGTTAAACATCTCGCAACGTGCAATCCAGCATAAAATCAGCTCAGGTCCCTTATGGGAAATGAATTCATTGAAGTAAGAAAAAAACAAATGAACAATGAATCCAATATAAGTATAATTTTTGAGTGCATTAGATAGATATAATGGAGTATAGTTACAACTTAGAAGAAACACAGGTAGGAGAAAAGGAAACGGTTGCCATTTTGTATGATAATGTCTTCGCTGTTGTAAAACTCACCCAATGTGTAAATGAAATACGTAATCAGATCAACTCTAATCAGGTGATATCTTTGTTGCAAATGCAAATAGTCTGAATTATTTTGTGATAATATTAAGTGGGAAATAACATGAGGATAGGTTGAATGGATATACAACTGCCAAGAAGAAATGCAGATGAAAGTATGTACAGACTTAATGAAATTTCAAACAACCCGAAATTGCCTTAAATAACCTGAAATTGTCTACAACCTGAAATCATGTACAACCTGAAACTGTTTACAACTTGAAATTGTGTATGACTTCAAACTGCATACAACCTGAAATTGCATACAACCTTTAATTGCCTACAACCTTTAATTGCCTGAAATTGAATATAGCTTGAACAAACTTCTACTCACATATATATGGAACTTAACCAAACACCTCAAAATCTCATGTAAAAAGTGGAAATGTGTATATAGGCATTGAAATGTGACGTGCTGTACCTCTGAGATGTTATGTGATGAAGATATAGCTAGATTATCATTGTAAGATTATTTGTAAAATCTCCATTATTTTCTAAATGTAATGGAGGCCTACAAGGGTCGATCAAAAAGTTTCTTACCGTTGGCTCTAGATTTTATAATAAAACTTTTTGATCGACCCTTGTATATAGGTATTGCTTAACAAATGTATATAATCCATCTTCTATCAATCGCTTATAATGTACAAATATGCTTATTTTTGCTGTTGTGATAGGCAGTTGAAACTTAATAAGACAAAAATGGAAAATCAACGGAATTTCAGGGGATAACTAGTATAAGGCTCTCATTTATTCTCTTGATATTCAAATGCCATGGTCTTTCTAGAGCTCTGTTACGCATTATCTGATATTGAAATGGGGAAAATGATGAAAATTACTTCACTATGAGGTAAGAGTGATTTTATGAGGTTGAGCCGATCGATACTCTCTGCAACTCTAGTTTATATGTTCTTGCCAAGTTGCCAAATTACAAGGTCATCCTCAACACCAGTAAGAGTTATTGGGTTAACTTGGTACAGTGAAACCTATCTAAGTGAACACCTCTTTTAAGTGAACATCGATCTCTAGAAAACACCCTTCCTCTGAGAGGAATCCTCGCTACATACTAGACCAACTTCTATATAAATCCCCCTCTCTGTAATAAACACTTCCCTACAGTGAACACATTTTTGGCTCCATAGGTATTCATTGCACACAGGTTTTACTGTATATCTTAGACAGATGCAGAAATGTGTGAGATTTTCCAAATAGGCTTCCTGCTGAGGTTTTAGCTCTGGAAACCAAACCAGCAAGACAAAGATAGATAAAATAGAATCTGGTCGATCAAAATAGAATACTAGTACTGGAATTTGAACCCATAGCAGAATACAATTTTGTTGTTCAGGCAGGGTAGGGTACAGTGTTAAAACTTAAAAAAAACTTTATTGAACAATTTTTTGAAGAATTAGATGATATTTTATTAGTTATTTATTGCCTATGAATTGACATACAGAATGTATTCTAACGAAAAGTCTGCGGTTTTTTAAGACAGAAATTACAATCTTTGACCTTTGAGTTGAGTACATTTTCATGTTTACTAAATTTGTACCAAGAATCTTAAAGTCGTGACCTAAATATTTTTTTAAGTAGGTTTATCAATGCCTGCCTTAGTCAAATATTAAATTCATATTCAGATTAAATTAGAACATATAGAGCTTCGATTGGTTTGAAGACGTTTTTTAGCCTTACTGCGTATATGTGTTTATAAATTTCAACTTACAACTGAGGTCAAAGTGACCTTGAAGAATGCCAATGCCATGATAGCTAAATGTATGATATATGATAGTATATTTAACCTTTTCAATGGAAGCTTTATATATACAGCCTTGTATTGTACATTGTCTTGCAACATCATATTGTATTGTACATGTACTTGTATTGTACATGTATGTATTGTACATGATCTTACAAAATCATAATTTAAGTTTATGACTATAGTGTGTTATAGAAATGGTGCAGTTTAACTGCGTAGTTAAGCTGGTTAGTTACTGCTATGAATTCACACAGTTTGACATAATTTAGTTTATATTTTAAGGGCATTATTGTGTGTGTGATTCAAGGGCATTATCATTTACATGCATAAAGGGCATTATACAGTACTGTAATATCACATAATCTAAGTCAGATTGTTATTATTTTAGTTGTTTTTATTTTAGTTTTTAAATAGTTTAAGGAAGTTGATCATGCTTATCTTTTCACTTAAAGGAGTGTTCCTTCTCTTTATTTTCTGCCTTTGTAGGGTTATATTATTTATTGTCTCTACGTATGTATTTATATACATATATGGTTAGATATCAGTATATATCAGTATATTAGATATTCAAGTTCAAGACTTAAACCATGGATTGCTTTCATCAAAATCAAGATAGAGTATTCAAGGAAGGAATATCCCTTTAAGTTAGGAATATCCAAAGGTCTTCCAATCCATAAATATTATACTCTTTTGGTTATTCTCACTGGGAGTTAATTGCTTTCACCTGTGAGGCTGGATTTCTAGGGCTTCACAAATGGATCAAATGTTGTATTCTTAAAGCATTTTCAGACCATTTAATAGAAGATAGCACCATCCCTGAGCTATTTCATCACAAATTTTGCCAATTTTGTTAATAATCAATTTTAAAGGAAATTTTTGTAAAAAGAGTACTCTAACCCAGTTTTTATTTAATTTATGGTATTGACTTATTTAATGACCATCTAATCATAAACATCAGAAAAGTGACACCATTGATTAATATAAATGCTGAACAAATTGAATACTCCAATATAAATATTACCCTGCGTTCACATCTGCTTGTCATATCATCCTCTGACCTTAACAAGATGATTCTACGATGTTAATTCTGATCTTAATAATCACAAGAGTTAATTACTTTCATAGCTTTTTGCTGTGTGTTTAATTTTCAGACTTCATTTTCTGATTGGATAGTGGCTAAATCAAAAGAATTTCTGTTGTTTTAAGAGGGTAGCTGAAGTTCATTTCTGGCTGAGGGTATTTAATGATTGAACTAGCATTCAACAAGTTCATCGGGAACAATAACTCAGCTGGTTGCTATAGTAACCAGCTTTTATCCCACACTTAAAATGGATGAATGATATATCTCGCCTAATCTTAGGAGCATATAAATTGCTTTCGAGGCTTGAAACCTTTTTGAGCCTGCAAACTAATCGCTAGAACTGAGATATGGCTTTATAAAATTGAGAGGCTAAATGCTAGGAAATAAATAATGTATTTTTATGAGTGGAACAGGTAAAAGATATATCTTTCGAAGTGATAATCCATTTGAGTCCATGGTATATTGAATGGAACATTTCATTTTTTTCGAGTATTTTTTGGAGAGAATGTAGCTAATTTTTTTCTTTTGTGGCGTGGTCATTCCCTCTATCTAGTCAAGGAAGTGGAATTCATTATAGGAGTCAGGGTTTAGTAAGTTGTTTCAGTAACTCATCAAAAGTTGGAGAATTTAAGATTGCAATGATTTTGTATTTGTTTCAGATAATAGTGTTACATTTAAAATGTCAGGGAATCATTCACTTTATATCCACATTGATACTATGCGTGACAAACGTGATATAGTGATACATGTTTCTATTTAATTTACCTATAGGCTATATTAATATCAAATAAAATAATCAATATTTGACCGTATTCTTACGATTTGCATTGTTCTGCTCAATTGCTCATTAAATTTTTACACTATGTTATTATTATCTTGTATAAGGAACTGTAAAATATGCTAAGTTCTTAAATGGTTCAATTTGTGAATATCAAATAGGCTATCACCAAAATAATTGTCAATATATACCATTATATTAATTGACAAGATTCTAAAATGATTGATTTATCAGAACTCAATGAAAATTGTATGGACAAATGAGTCTTAAGCTGTTGAGAAAAAATGAGATGTCATGGTTTGACTAGATGATGACAAAGTATTTTAATGTGGTTTCTATTTAACGAGCTTTCACCATATCATTTGGACCAATCAGAGAGTGGGGAACATTATGGCTATATGAAATATTAACATCTAGGGGTTTGAGGCCACTTGCGTTTATGGGATATCAAAAAATGAAACCGAAAATTTATTCACATTTTGACGTTTTCAGGTAGACTGTTCGTAGTATGTATACAGGTTTCACTGTAGTTATGAAACTAATATATCTCGTTTGAGATTAGATATTATTGACATAATAAACTTTTAATAATGTTACGAATTCCCAGGGTACACATTGAATGTGTATGTGCTAATTATATATCATTATATGTCATATTAAACCATTCATACATAACCAGTAGGCCAATAAAGCCTATGTTCATTTCGCGATTTATGCCTAGTTCAGAATAAATTTTCTTTCAATTTTGATCATCTTGGACCATTAAAGCGCACATCTTTAGAATGAAAGTTATAAAATTTAGACAAGACTCTCTAAATGAGAACTCCGCTAAGTATAAATTAGTATGGAATAAATTTTTATTGATTTTTTATCATCTTGAACCATTAAAGCGCACATCTTCAGAATGAAAGTTATAAAATTTAGACAAAATTTCTCGTTACAAACTCCCGTCATCTAAAGATAATTCCGTCATTTATGTAATAAGGAAGTAGAGATATTACGCATATTTCCTGGCTGAAATTATTTATCGTTCTTTAGACATAATTCAATTATTGCCATTCTAGGCCTATAGGAATGTACCATTAACGCCCTGGTTTGAAATAACATCAAAGTTTTACTGCAATTGTTATAAATCAAGCATCTTTTCCTGGAAGGAATTTCTGGTTAATTTTCTTGTAATTTTCTCAATTTAGGTTATCACTTTCACATTTTTTTTGTCTTTAATTCCATGCAAATTCCTGACAGATATCATGAGAGATGGTGGATTTTATTAAAGAGTAAAGTACACTGGGAAAAAGCATTGCCAAGAACATAAATGTCTTTGTTGGCGTGTTTTAAAATGCGAGTTTCAGTACAAAAGGAAGGAGAAGGCAAGGTATAAAGTCAATAGGCATGTAGTCAACACTCAAAATTGCAAAGAAATGCCAAAAATTCAACGAGTTCATTCAAATTTTAAGGAGAAAAACGGGAAAAGACATAGCCACTTTTGTGATTTTCCCTGGGGTCTTAGGCTTGCCAAGTATTGATCCAATATACTGTCCTTACCTGGCCTTATGACCTGCGGTTTTATATCCCATAATTTATCATATGCTAAATGCAATATTCACGGCCTTATCGGATCGAAATTTAAGAATTGTAAAATATCCATGTATGATTAATGAAAACTGCTCAGATAACAGAATTTATCTGCGTTTAGCTGAATTTTTATCCAATAGGTGATGGGACTGTATCGACTGCATGTATGATGATCAGTTATTTATATCGTATTTAGGTCAATATTTGAGTCAATCACTTTCACATTATTGTATCGATGTCTTAAGATTTGGTAGATAATGTTATTTGGTGGAATATATCGTGACCCTAACATCTCTCTATATTTGATATGTGATATAATATAATTGTCGATCGATTGTATTCTTTTCTTTAGCATTCGGTGTAATAATTTCACCATTATTATTATATACAATGCCCGTTGGGATAAAATGCCCCAG